AAAATGAAACATTTAACTTTCTACCTAAGAAAAGAGGTAAAAAACTCCTCCCCAAGTGATCTCTAAATGCTCCTTACACAGCTGAAAATTTTCCCTTACAGAATTCTCTCAAATCCCTCTCTAATCTCTCTAAGAAAATGAAGAAAAAGTAAAACATAATTCTAAACTCTCGTCTTCTACCCTCCTTGGCTTCCTCCCAGTCTTTCAAATGATTGAGAGACCTTCTTTGAACTACCTCAATCGCCTCTTAACTCTCAAATTTGTGCCCAATTAACTGCAAAAACTGCCTTGGGCAGTTTTTGCACCTAGGCGCCAATGTCACTGTCAGCTAGGTGAAAGTTGGCGCCTAGGTGCCACAGGTTGATGTCGAGGCCCCAAATTAGAGCACCTCAGCGCCCAAGTCTAGCGCTAGGCGCCAGTGTAATGAAATATTTTTATTCCCTTAGTGCTCCATTTTGCATCCATTTCACTCTATTTCAGCCCCAATCTTCCTACTTGTTATACCTCAAAGAAAAATACAAAAAATATATTTTTTTAAGTACAATTTCATAAAAAACAAGTGTTAAATGTATGGAAAATTGAGCATGCTGCATGACTTATCAAATATCACCACAGAACTGCCACAATATCACTAAAATAACGTTATAATAACACCACAACAACTGCACAATAACACATCAATAAAAACACAATAATGCAACAATAATACCATATAAAACTGAACCAACACCAGTCGAGAATACATCTACAAACGCCATAATACCACTCAAATAATACCACAATAACACATCAGTAATACCTCAATAACACCACAGATATAAAACTGAACCAACACCAGTCGAGAATACATCCACAAAAGCCATAATACCACTCAAATAATACCATAATAACACATCAGTAATACCTCAATAACACCACAGTAATGTTGCAATAACACCATAAAACATTGAAACAACGCTAATCAAATACCACAACAGATCCGTTGTAATACCGCTCAAATAATACCTCAATAACACCATAAAAATACGAAAATAAAAACATAATAACCCCATAATAATTTTATAACAACACCTCAATAACACCACAATAATACAACAATAACACCATAATAAAATTGAAATAACACAAGTCGAGAATACCATAACATTCGCACAATAACACCATAATAACGCCAGTCGAGAATACCACCACAGATCGACCGCAAGACTACTCAAAGAATACCACAACCACACATCAATATTACTACAATAACACCTCAATAATACCACAATATAACCATAATAACACCGGCCGAGAAAACCGCCACAGAGCCGACGCAATACCACTCAATTAATACAGCAATTACACCTCAATAACACCACAATAATACCGTAATAACACTATAATCACCAGCCGAGAATACCACCACAGAGCCGCCACAATAATACTCAAATAACATCACAATAATGCATCAATAACACAATAATAATACCGCAATAATGTCGTAATAACACGCCGAGAATGACAACATAAAGCGTCGTAATACCACTCAAATAAAATCTCAATAATACCATAATAATACAATAATAACACCATAATAACATCACAATAAATACACAATAACTCCTCAATAACATTATAATAACACAACAATAACATTATAATAAAACTAAAATAACATCAGTCAAGAATACCACCACAGTCGCCACAAGACCACTCAAATAACCCCACAATAATACATCAATAACACAATAATAAATCTAAAACAACACTAGTCAAATATCGCCACAGAGTCGTCGCAATACCTCTCAAATAATGACGTGGGTGGATTTAGTGTGTTAATTTTGCAAATATTTTTCAATATTACAAAATACACATGACAAATACAATAATAAATATGCAATTTAATCCCAACAAAAATAACTTTAGTAGTTTTATGCTTAAGAAAAAACTTTAAAATGCGAAATCTCCTAAAAATAACAAAAGTATACGTATCGCTCAAGTAACAAAGGACTCTAATGAAGTCGGGATATCGATCCCACACGGAAGTTCGAAATGCTTATAATTAAATTCTTAAGATTATAGTGTAAACTACAATTTAAACTACAAAAGTGAAGTACAAAATTCGAATCTAAAGTAAATGAGTGAATGTTAAATAAAATGCAGTTAAAGGACTAAGTTAATTAAACTAATGACTAAACTTTCAAAAGTAAAATTTACGAAAATTAAATAAAGTTTTTGTGGTTAAGAGTTCAAATTTAAAAAAAA